GGGATTCGGAAGCCTCATAGAAGTCCCTTGGAGAGGCCTCGGTATTAGGCTCCATCTCAGTCTGAGTCCGTGCACCGCGGGGTTGGGAGGTTAGCCTGGGACGCGTGTCGCGAGCTCAGATACTCACGCCTGGTCACAGGGCAGGCCACGCAGGACGGGGACCCCGCAGGCTGGCAGACGGACACGCTGCAGTGCAGGAACACCTGGGAGCCGAGAGAGTGGGGTCACAGGGTAGCCCCTCATCCCGAGAGGCCGAGAGCCCCTGGAGGCTGTGCAGAGGAGAGGCGTTAGAAGGTCCTGGCCCGTGCCACGGGGTCACTGGTCACTGGTACCGGGATCGTCCCGAGGCAGCACCAGCAGCCAACCTGGGAGGCCAGCTCGGCCGAGGAGTGGCGTCACGTGGACACCATGGAGCTGGGGGGTGCAGAGCCCTGTCGGGGGGCAAGGAAGGAGCATCATACCGGCCCCCCGAGCGCCCGTCCGGCCCCCGCGTCCACGAAGCTGAAGGTGAAGATGCTGAACCGCTGGGCGTGGGAAGGGAATCGCAGGCTCTGGGTCTCCGGGACGGGGATCAGCTGGGTCCGGTAGTTGTCTCCGGCGTAGGGGCATCTAAACAGGACACCCACAGTCAGGGGGAGGGGGCTTCCTGGGGGGGCTGCCTCGGGCACAGGCGCCAGCCGCTCACCCGTTCACCAGCAGCGCCCACTGCGGCTGCTGCCCGGGGTCGGGGCCGGGCGTGGCCCAGCACTGATGCAGCAGCAGCCCCAGGTCGGGGTCGGTCCTGTGGCGGAGGGCGACCTCCACGTAGATGGGGTCCCGGAGCAGCTTCACCACCGGGTAGTCACCCTCGCGGTAGTAGGCGCTGTAGTTTCCATCTGCAAGAGGCCACAGGGAGGGGAAGAGGACGGAGCCAGGCCGCTCGGGGCTGCGTGAGACGGGCCATCGCCCACGCCAACGCCTCTAGCAAGTGTCGGTGGCGCAGGCAGGGTCTCCAGGCCCCGAAGAGGGACGGGCTCGGGCTGCAGCCAAGTGCTCCGGCCAAGAGGGTCTCACCTTTCGCGATCTGCAGCTCCAGGGTGAGGGCCCCGGGCTGGGTCTCGGGAAGGGGCGGTGGGAGAAGGGAGACCTGGACGTTGACCGGGAGGACGCTGCTGCTCACAGGGTAGGTGCAGCTGACGCGGAGCCTGCAGAGAAAGAGGCATCAGCCGCTCCCTGGCGGGCGAGGCCCCTTGCGTGTCATGCGGGAGGAACTACTGAGTGCCAGGGGTTGGACACGCTTGTCAACATGATGGGCGTGGTTCCTGACCTGGGGGGTTTGGGGGGCTCTATTTGAGTTGGGGAGACCATTGTGGAAAGGGGGTCAGTATTTAAGAGAGGAAGATGTAAGAGACGCCCGAGAACAGACATGGGCCTGTAGAAACAGGTGCCTTCGGTGGAGAGTGCAGTCGGGGAAGATCAGACAGGGATTTGATACGAAGATGAAACCATAACGGAGGTCCAGGAGGGGGCACAGTTGACAAGAAACATCTGGAGGCAAGAAACACTGGGATCAGGCAGGTGACAGGTTCTCTGGTCGCCAGGAATCGTCCCGTGGAGTCGGGTTCTGGGGACCGAGGACTCACCTACCAACCCCTGGTCTATGCCGGGAGGGCAGCTCAGCCTAGAGGAACGGCATCAGGCGAGCGAAGGCCTTTACCTGAAGGTACT